CCACAAAAATAAAAATATTAGCCAGGCGGTGGCAGGGAGGTGGTGTTGCTTGAGTCCAGGAGTTGGAGTTGCAGTGAGCTGTGATCACACCACTGCGCTCCAGTCTGGGCAACCGAGCAAGACCTTGTCTCACAAGAAAAAAAAAAAAAAGCCAAGGTCTAGAAAGAGAAAGAAAGGTTGAGGAACTTGTCAGACATAAGGAGACTTAAGAGACAGGACAACTAAATGCCATGTGTAATCCTGGACTGGATCCTGGGGGGAAAGAGGGGAAGCTGTAGAGATTATTGGAGCCGTTGCTGCAATGCGAATAGGGACTGTATTATATTGAGTGAATGTTAGATTTGCTAACTTTGATCATTGTTTTGTGGTTATATAAGAGAATGTCCTTATTCTTTTTAGGAAATACACACTAAAATATTTAGGGATAAAAAGGCAAAATGTCTTCAAATTACTCTAAAGTAGTTCAGGAAAAGAAAGTGTGTGTTTGTGTGTGTGTGTGTGTGTGTGTGTGTGTGTGTATGCATGAAAAGAGAGAGAGATACCAAATGTGCAATAGCAATTTTCTCATACTATTCTTATAATTTTTCTGTAAATTTGAAATAATATCAAAATTAAAAGTTAGAAACAATGCTACAATATCTGCAAAATTCCCTTCCTTCAGAGTCTGAGATATCATCCACATTTAGAGTTCTTTGATTTTCTTGTTCCAGAGGAATTAGCAGTTTGGAAGTTATATTCTCTTTGATATTAAAAATAGGGACTATGAAATAAGACCTCTAATATAAAATGACAGAGTTCAAAATTTTTTATCATTATTGATAGAAGTATTCAAAGTCTTCATTATTGTTTTTTATATTGGTTTCTAATTTCCTTCTTTTTTTTTTTTTTGAGACAAACTCTCACTCTGTTGCCCGGGCTAGAGTGCTGTCGCATTAGCCTAGGTCACAGCAACCTCAAACTCCTGGGCTCAAACGATCCGCCTGCCTCAGCCTCCCAGAGTGCTAGGATTACAGGCGTGAGCCACCCTGCCCGGCCTCTAATTTCCTTCTTAACAGGAAGAATCAAGACCCTTAATAGGGGGTAATTTTTATTATATAAATATTCAAATGGGAGATAGGAGGTCATTTGCTAGTGTCTTAGAAGGATTTTTTGTATCAGGCAAGAACACAGGGGACCTGTGATTCTAACTGTTAAGATTAAATTCTAAATATTTTCAGTTAAAAATTCTTCCTAAGAAACAGTACCTGCAATTTAGAGAGTTTTGAAGTTTGGAACTCTTACCTTCCCTGTCCCTGTCCCTGGATCCTGCTGCCTTCAATGTTATGCTAAATAAAGAGAGTCATTTTCCAGGCCAACAATTCTGATCCTCTAGTTGTTATAAGATAAACCATTAGCCTCTGAATGTATTTATTGGTCAGCATCTGTACATTTGATAATTATTTTAGAACGTTAACTGATTCTTGGCCAAATGCTGATCCTGATAGACATTGGAGTGGCACTCATCTGATCAACTCCTAGGATGTTTGTGAGTGCTGGGGGGACTATTTACGATCATCCAATCCAATGCATCCTTTTGTTCCATGTGATGCTTTCTTCCACCCAAACCTGAACCATGCAGGTATAGCTCTGCTGTCAGGATTCCCGAATTCCGGTCCAAAATGGCCACTGATGTATTAAGGTTATTAAGTATGAAAGGTCCAATTTCCTCAAGTACTAAGTTTGACAGTTGATATCTCTGACATCTCACTTTGACACTTCTTGTTTCTTTATTGTGAAGTACATCCTCAGTCTTTCAAACACAGTTTGGCTTGTGATTATCTTTCAAAGTTTTTTTAGAGCAATTTTTGTGAAATCATGGATAAGTCGAAAATTCAAATATGAGTTCCGTTGTGGAATCAATGCTGAGAAGACAGCTGGAAATATCAATGAAGTGTTTAGAAGGATGTCGCTAATGAACACACAGTATATCGATGGTTTGAGAAGTTCCGTTCTGGTGAGTTTAATCTTGAAAATGTGGGTGACCTAACACCAAGGTGAATAACGATGAGCTGAAAGCTGTAGTGGAAGCGAATCCATCTCGACCTATGTGTGAATTAGCAGTAAGGCTTGATGTTACTATTGTAACAATATTGGACCGTTTGAAACAAATCGGCAAGGTAAAGAAGCTGGATAGATGGGTACTGCATGAATTAAATGAACATCAGAAGAGAAATCATCATGAGGCTTGCCTTTCTTTGCTGTCAGACATAAAGGTGAACCATTTCTACACCATATTGTTACGTGTGATGAAAAATGGATTCTTTTTGACAATCACATAAACAAGGTCAATAGTTTAGGTGCATACTTTGATTAATTGCACTGCTTCTTGTTTGAGATATAATAAACTAAACTTTTGATTCAAAATCAGATATTTCATATTTAATAACCTAATACTCTGCAACTTTGATCAGAGCTTTCTCATTGCCTTAGTTTACTTCCCATAATACACTAATGACAGATTCTCTACCTACCACGTAGGCTACTATTTTGGTGCAAAAGGATAGTAGAAACAAAACACTTTTTTAAATTTATTAAAATCTTGTCAGTGGAAGAGGAAATGGGTGCTCTAACAGTTACACAGGAAAAAAGCCTAAATTTAGATGAGAGGAGGGAGTGTAATACACATTTTGACAAATTTTTTTTGGCTGTAAAGTTTAAAATGTTAAAACAATTTGAACTCTATGAAAAGCCAAATGTCCAATAATCTGAAGGAACACTACATTTAACCAGTATGTTGGACATCAAGGGGCTTTAAATATCTATTTTCCAGGGGGGTGGAGAGGGAGAGAGAGAGAGAGAGACCTGCAGTCTTTCGGAAGAGACTGTCAGCTTCACTTGAGTTAATTAACCTAATTTTTACTTCCTTATAAAAAATCAGCTGTATACAACCAATCTTTTAAGATTTCAGTGAGAATTAAATGGAACGAAAGTATAGAAGTATGTAGAAAGAATTTATGTTCCTTTCTCTTCTAATCCCAATCTATCCTATTGGAAAAAAAAAAGATTTACAGGCATTAATGTGAAAATGAATTGTTGGCATTTCTTTATATTGAGGCAAAGACTAGCTGAAAATGAACTTACCAGCTCAAAATACTGCCAAAGCCAAGAAACAACATTTGTACTGTGTCTTCTAAATCTTTTCATGAAATACACATTATATGGATTATAAAATCTTTTGTTAAAATATCTTAAAATCTTGTATAGGAGATGAAAACCTTTATTGCCTCTTTCTTGATGTTTTCTTAATAGTTTAACTAGAAGCAATGCTTTTCTTTCTACTGCCTGTGTGACCTGGTTGATCTTATGTGAAAATCGATTTTCCCTCCCTAGGAAAGCTCATGTGGTTTGGATTGCAACTTCAATCTGGTCAGAGATAAACTAGCCAAGCCACGTGCTCCTTTGCTTCATGAGGGCCTCCTGCTAAAAAGGCTGTTCTAGGCCCATGGCTTGGATTGGGGTGTATCTTCAGGGTACCACTGTGAGAAATGGGTCAAAAGCTCATCCTGAATCAGCTGTACCCCAAAGGATTCTGAAAGGCTCCATGTTTTCTCGGGTCTTCCAGGGAATTTGTGTTGAGGCTGTGTCTGCAGCCTGACTCCAAGCTTGCCAGGAAGGCAGACTAGAAATAACCAAGCAATATCACTCCAACTCACTGACTTTTAAGGTGTGAGAGTGCAAATGCTCACCAGAGCCTCCCTCCCAAAGATGCTAGGGTGTGGACCAGCCTTTCTCGAAGTGTGGAGCCAGAAACTTGGGAAGTTTTTTGACTTGCTCTTCTCCCTCAACCTCCAGATCTCCTTGGTCCTCCTTGGTTCCATCCATTCAACTTCCTTATCTCAGGGATCCATCCTGTTCTTTTCTCAGTGCCACGATTCCAGTCAGATCTTCATCATTTCCCACCTAAAGTACTGTAATAGCCTCCTAACCGGTCTTTCTTCTTCAGCTGTGCCCAACACTCCCCTCCCAACCCCCACCATCCATTCTCTATAAAAGCTGCCCAGAATGATATTTTAAAAAATAAAAATATGATCAAGTCCCTTAATTTCTCAAAAAGTCTTCATTGGCTCCCTATTAACTTACAGGATAATGCCTAAACTTATTAGCACGTGCACAGATAGGATCTATTCTCTAATATTCCCTAATTACCCCTTTAGTTCCATCTTTGGTCCTCT